GCTGGGGCTGGCGGGGGCCCCGCCGCCGCGCCCGCGAGGACACTGCACACATTCTTCAGACACTGCCAAGGCGCCGGCTCTCCAGCAGCTGCTGCAGGGGCTGGAGTCTCCACATTCCTTTGCTCAGCTGCAGCTACGCTGCAAAGCTTCCGCTCCCGTCGTGCCCCGTGCCGTGTGGGCTGGGCACGGGCGTTCGAGCAGGTGAGGGGACAGACTGGCACAAAGTGTTCGCGGAGCAGCACCGCTGGCATGTCTCTGGGCCAATGGAACTGGTGGAGACAAAGGCCCCTGGCTGGGTGCTTGGAGCAGAAAAGCCAGAGAGCACACGCGAGGCACAGCCGCCTCCTAAGAGCACCAGACTGGGTCAGACCAAAGGCCCATCTCGCCCAGGGTCCTGTCTGTGACAGTGGCCAGTGCCAGGTGCCCCAGAGGGAGGGACACAACCAGCGATCCCTCCCCTGTCACCCATTCCCAGCCTCTGACAGGCTAGGGACACCATCCCCGCCCGTCCTGGCTAGTAGCCATTGACGGACCTGTCCTCCAGGAACTTATCTAGCTCTTTTCTGAACCCTGTTACAGTCCTGGTCTTCACAGCATCCTCTGGCGAGGAGTTCCACAGGTTGCTACCTATTAATTTCATGTGGTGACCCCTCATTCTTACATTGTGGGAAGAAGGAAATAACTTTCCCTTATTCACTTTCTCCACCCCAGTCATGATTGTATAGGCCTCTATCGTGTCCCTTCTTAGTCTCCTCTTTTCTAAGCTGAAACATCCCAGGCTTATTAATCTCTCCTCCTATGGCAGTTGTGCCAAACCCCTCATCGTTTTTGTTGGCCTTTTCTGAGACTTTTCCAATGCCAGATCTCTTTTTTGAGATGATGCGAGCTCACCTGCACGCAGTATTCAGGCTGTGAGAGCACCTTGGACTTCTGCAGAGGCAATAAGATCTTCTCCGTCGTCTTCTCTACCACTCCCCTCATCACAAGTCCCCACCCCCAGGCGTTCCTTTCCTAATACTGCCCCAAGCTGGGGGTCCCTGCTTTCCTGAGGGCAGCCCCTGAACAGGCCCTCCGCTGTAGAAGCTGCCCTTGCCCAGCTGATCTCTGCTGTTTTCCCTCGGCACCGTGGCCGGGGGCCCAGCCAGTGACGGGCTCCGCTCTCCTCCCCAGGACGTGCTGGATTCCAAGAACAACACCATCAAGGATCTCCAGTACGAGCTGGCGCGAGTCTGCAAGGTGAGGGGGGGCTGGCAGGCCCAGGTCCTTACCCTGGCTCTGTCCTGCCCCACTGGCCCCGGGCAGGGTCAGCGCTGGGCAGCAGGCAGAGCCCCCCTGCTCAAACCCTGGCGGGATGGAGGGGAAGGCGGGGGCCTGGCGGGAGGAGCAGGGCGCTGCTCCTGCAGGCCTTTGCCAGGCGTAACCTCCCCTGCGGGAGAGGGGCTGTTCCCGCCCACGCGTGCACTGACAGACACCCCTTTGCCCCACCTCTGCCCTGCCCTGTCGGGGTTCACCCGCTGGATTGCGTGGCAGAGCTCGGAGGAGCCGGCCAGGCAGCTCTGCCCCGGCACCGCCTGTTGTGCGCAGCCTTTGCTGCTGCTCCCTGCTGGGGGTTCCCCGGCTGCCTGGGGGCCGAGCTCTGTTCCCTGGTGATGGCGCCCAAGGCTGGCGCGGGAACAGGCGCTCTGCGCAGGGAGGGGCGGGCTAGGGCCGTGCTGAGCGGCGGGCGCTTCCCTTGCAGGCGCACGACGACTTGCTGCACACCTACGAGGCCAAGCTCGCCGCCTTCGGGATCCCGCTGGACAACGTGGGCTTCAAGCCTCTGGGGACCACGGTGACGGGACAGACGCTGGGGCACGGCCCCGCCGC